GAGGTACTTTTCAGTTCCAAGTTGTAGATCTGAGCTTGTATGACAACTTCTAAGTCACATTTTGGTCCTTATTGCATGGAACCTGTGTGTTAAGTGGCTTTTTTGAGAGCTTCTAGGTCTTGTTTGTCCACCAGGCCAGTCTTAAGGACTTGTAAAAAGATACCTAAACACTGCAGCAAAGTGTATTTAAGGAGTGCATCTGACTGCCCTGAAGCCAGGTGCTAGCTGTGTCATTTTTTCCTCCATACAGCTCTGTTTGTTCCAGGGTTGCTTACCATTTTTGATGATGTCGCAAAAAATCTGCCACCATTTTTTATGAGGACCCATCTTTTAATATATTTTTTCCCCTCTCCTTCTTCCAACAAGAATCAAGTTATGTAATAAAATCTTGATTAACACTGCCTCTAGAATGAACATTTGCTTCATTTGTCACCCCTTTGTGTAAAGGAAAGATTGCGACTTTGAATTGTGCTTTTCTTGATTTGTTTTGTTGGGTTTTTTTTGTTTTGTTCTATTTTCTTTTCAGGAGGCATTTCAACAGTATTGAGTTACATTCCCTAATTACTTTGTAGACAAAATTCTCATTATAATTGCTGAGAATTTTGACCAAGACAAGACTAAGATTTAGCCTTTGATTAGCTTCTTAGCAGTATTTGTTGAGGATTATAGCAGTCAGTGGAATGGCTCCGGATTTATTACTGTGAGCAAGCAAAACTTGAGCAACTGGCCTTAAAACCAGCTTTCAGCTTTGCACATGAATTAGAAGAGATAAGTTGGCTCAAGTAGCAAACAGCTTTGGGACGTGCTGGTGTTATCTAGGGCAAACCTTCCTGAACCTATTGCCTCCCTGAGAGGACGGGGTGGCAGCTCCCACCTGGCTTGGCTTTTGGAAGAAGCACTGAAGTAAATTTGTTTCTCTCCAGGACAATAGACAAGTGCCAAGTTATTATATTGCCCCATGAAGTTTGTTTTATAATCCTGCTAAGGTCACGTAGATATTTTTGAAATACAATGAATTACTTGCTATGAAATATGATGAGATATAGCCATTTGTTGTCCTTCAGAAGTGACTTGAGTCAATTTGCAACTGCTGCAGACACCAAACAGTCATTGCCCCTGCTTTAAATGGAAAAGGGAAGGTAACATTTCCTGGTGTTAGAGAAAACAAAACTTGAATGCTGAGCTTGTATCTACCTAATATTTTGGTCCTAATTGTGGAGAAGTAAACAAAGAAATAGCAATGTAATATACTTTTATTAGACATGTTATTAAAGGGATGTTAGAGAGTTTCTCTCTGGCAGTTAAAGTTGTTGTGGCAGACCAGTATTCATCAAGACTGGGCTCTTCTTAAGGGAAGCAGAGATCTCTTGCTGACGGGCATTTCTCCCAAGAGATTACAGTCAGGTGCTGAGAGTCCCAGACAAATATAACTCAAGTCAAACATTAATTCAAGCAAAAAAAAAAAAACCCCAACAAAATACAAACAAAAAAAGTTTAAAATTTTCCTTTAGAGGTCTGTTCAGATCTCTTCTGAAAAACTTAGTCACTCCAGTGGCAAAATGGAAACAGAATGGATAAAACTGTTGCTGTACTTGTGCCCCTGTATTGTCTTCTCTGAGTAAGACAAAATCTTTGCCATAATTTTTAATGCATTTAGAGCCAGGCAATTTACTACAAATATCAGCATTCTTTGTTTAGCAAGAAAAAGAGAAGTCTTCAGCTATTCTGGTCATAGCCTCCAGTTTCAGCCCTGAAAAGTAATAATGCTTTGGCATTGATAGTTTTCTGCATCCTTGCCAGACAGGTGTGTTTCAAAGAAAATGAAACAAACTAAAATCTGCAGGATAATCTTGCTGCTTCAGCGCTGAAGCAATCGTTTTGCAGTTTTCAAATTATGCGATCTTAGGATAGTTTGAGTTGGAAGTGACCTTAAAGATCATCTCACTCCAACCCCCTGCCATGGGCAGGGACACCTCCCACCAGCTCAGGTTGCTCCAAGCCCCATCCAACTTGGCCTTGAACACTTCCAGGGATGGAGCAACCACAGCTTCTCTGGGCACCCTGTGCCAGTGCCTCAGCCCCTCATGGGGGAGAATTTCTTCTTAATATCTAATCTTACCCTGCCCTCTGTCAGCTTGAAGCCATTCCCCCTTGTCCTGTCACTGTCCAAATGCAGGAAAAGACATATTGTCATGCAATTGTAATAATGATTTAAAAAATTTACAACGTTTTTATAAATTAAGCTTCTGGTTGATAGTTTTGGTGATAATGCTGCCTAAACTTCCACAATAGCAGGGACAACTGCTGATGCGGGGAAATAATGTGACCAAAGCATTATACACATTCAGTATTGTCAAAAATCCATATGTCCTATGTTCTCTGATCATTCTGCTTCTGTTTTAGGGCTGATAAAGAGAAGAGACTTTATCTCCTCAGTGCCCCTACTGATTCACACATTCCCGTGTTGCCTGGCCTGTGTTGTTTGTTTGCTTTCCTCCTTGCTCTCCTGGTTGTAGGTTCTGAATGCAGCTTGCATTTCCTTCCCCTCCACTGTTGTGTAGCTCAGCTGCTCATGGCTGTGGATGCACTACCTGCTGCTTGCTTCCAGCTGGTTCTGCAGTGCTCCAGGCCATCCTTTGCAATGAGCAGCCCATTCTCTGCCAAAACCACAAGCGACCGGGGAAGAGTTTTACAGGCTGCCAACAGCTATTTCATGGACCTGCTGACATGATACTGATGCCTTGTTTGCTTCATGGAGTGACTAGTCATGGCCATGTCCCCTTTCCCTCATGTGTCTCTGGAGGAGGGTAGCGGGAGAAAAGTATTTGGATTGCCTTTGTTTCAGCATTGTATTTGTTTTGCTCTTTCGTTCTCTGACCCAGCTTTTGTAGAGTGCTTTGGTGGGAGCTGTTCAGGTCTCTTCTGTGACCATTGAAGCTTTACCTGCAATTACAAACAACTGCACGTGTCTGCTTGGTCTCTCCGGGCTGGATGTTTTGCTGTGAAGGAGGAGGAATGCTGTTCAGCTGGTTTATTGTGTGTTTGATGGGCATTATTTTATGATTAGAAGTTTGCTTAGCCTTTTCTTGTACAGCAGTGCTGGCTCTAGAATGGTATTTGTGTGTGTAAAAGAGGCTGCTGTCTCTTCATCACATTCACCTGATATGTGATACAGAATAATCTCATGTTTAAATAAGGTACTTCATTCACATGTTGTAGTGCAGAGGATCAGTTGGCTTACTGCTGCTAAATAAACAATAGCCAGGCTTCAAAATGCTTTAAATAAGGTACTTGAAAAGAGCTTTGGGAGTTACTATTAGCCTTAGTGGGTGCTGTGGCCACTGGGCAGCTCAGGGCTGCAACAGCTAGGGACGAGCTGGCTGCCAGCCTGCTGGTTTCAGGAGCAGCAAGCTGGTGGCCCTGCACAGAGGCTGTGCACCATGCATCTTGGCATGCCCTCATGGCATGTTGGCTGTGCTGGCCCTTGCCCTCGGCAGGATGATGAGCTTACCTTGATGCAGTGCTGTTTGGGCTGCATTAGCACAGCTCAGACCAGGCTGTGGGGAAGTGCAGCCTCCATAAGATCACTCTGCTGGCTTCAAGACGACGTTGTGGTCATAGGAAGGAGTGGTGATGCCAGAAGCCTGGTAGCACTCTTCTTCCCTTTCTGCTTCCTTTAGAAGCCAAGGTCCCTTTTTTTTTTAAACTGCCTCTAAGATCAGGACTTTAGACACCATCCCCACACTTCTTGTTCTTTTCTTCCCTCTTCCTATCAGTGAGGTGCAGGTAGCCTGTAGGGGACTTGATTTGGGCTTAAGGAATTCAAAGAAAAGATGGTGAGGGGAAGGCACCCTCCTGCCTGGGAATACAGAGCCTCTGGCTCTGCCTGCTCCCATTTTCGGGCTGCCCTTATCTGCCCACCTGATCTGTTCAAACAGCTAAATAAAGCCTTAAAGCCTTCCACAGGTATTTATAGAGCACCTTGTGCTTAAAAATATGTACTTGTGAGAATTGCTTTACTTTTAAAAAAACCCAACCCACCTTGAAGGAAATTGATTTGGAGCATGTGGCATCCTTTGTGTCTTCTGAGATGATTCAGTTGTATTTGGGGAATTGGGGAACATCTGCATTGCAGTTGTGTTTGGGGGCAAAAGCTGGGGATAGGTGTGTGGTGGGTTTTTTGAAGGTACATATATTAGTCATAATGATGAAGCAGAGACAACTGCCCTGCATAGTGCATCGAATACAGCCAGAGAGTATGGAATGAAGGTTGCAGAGTAATACAGTGCCCTGTATGGTATCCTGGGAGATAACACTGGGAAAGACCAGTTTGTAACGCCACAAACCGGACATCTCTGGGAAAGTAGTTACTTCTCCCATTTCATCTGGAGTTGTACCATGGTAGGCAACCAGTAGATGGTGAAAGAATGAGAGATGCCCTGGTGATGGTGTCTGAGTGCACACACAAAGTAAACTCAGCTTTGTCCTTTTTGCCTGAGTGTCCTTAGAGAGATAGAGAGGCTGTTGAACATGAAACTGTGGACATAAACTACCCATTCTTACACAAAGGAAGGGGTGGCTAATGAACTGTAAATAAGGCTGAGAAAACTCAAGCTGCATAAAACAGTAAATAATTGATGTTGTCTGGTCATTTGAGCTCTGTTTGCCTCTTCATTTATGTTACAGGCCTTTAGGCAGGTTTTCTGTTTTGCAGTATACCAATCTTGTCAAAGCTCTTGTGTTAGTTGAACATAATGTCAAATACTGGTAATTATACCTGTTTATTTTTTACTATTAAGAATGGTCAGTTTAATATATGTGCACCCTTTGTTAATTAGAGTTATCTTAATGCTGGTTTATCTGCTTTTCTGTTTCAGAGAGAATGCTGCATCAGCACAGAGATCAGTAATGGGAGTGCAGAGTGTTCTGTTGCAGAGATCTCTAAAGAGCTCATGATTTCTTTCCATCTCTCCTCTTAACATTTCTACTGCTCCACAGACATGGCTCACCATGCAAGGCCTTCCAGATCAGTCAAAAAAGAAGAATTAGGCAAAAGGAAAACTAACCAGGGCAAAAAGAATTCTAGCCAAGTGAGAAAGAAAACCACGAAGACTTCCACAAAAGCTGTTAGTTGCGAAAAAGGCAAAAAGCCAGGGCAAGAAAAAGATGTTAAGAAAAAACAGCAAGAAAAGAAACCAATCATGAGCTCTTCAGGTAGACTTCTCAGGAGCAGTGTGACTAGAACCTTGTCTGGAGCGTCCTGGGTGAGTTTGGAGAAAGCTGAGAACACCCTCGTTCACAACCAGGATTCTTTCAGCATCAATGGCTTTACAATGTCTCTCCGTAACCGATCGTTCTCCCGCAGATTGTCCCAAACCTCAGTAATTGCTAAACCCAGGAAAGCTGCAGTACAGAAAAGGCTAGAAACAAAGGAAAAACATGAGCAAGGAGCTCTGGCAGTAGTAGAAGAGAAAAATGATGGAACAGGTGAAATAGTTTTGAAACAAGATTTGGCACGAAGTGAGTTAGCTGCTCTGCCTGTGGAAGGTGCTCCATGTAGCGCAGGCGAAGAGCCCGTTATCCTGTGTGCCAGTCAGGACAAGGAGATAGAAGTACCTGAAACAAATTACTCCATTCCACAGAGTCAGGTAACTGATGATGGTACAGAAGTGTCAGAGGTGAAATCTAAGCATGAAAACCTGCCCTGTGAGCAGATACCCAGTCATCTTGGCATAGGTGGTTTGGCTGAAGCATTTGTTGAAGATGCTGTGCTTGTGCTTCCATCTTCTCCTTCTGACTCCATAATCACCTCTGAATCAAACTCAAAGGTGTGTGCAGAGACTCCTTTCAATCTGGTGCTTAACAGTCAGGAACCTGACTCCAGCTCTGTCAATACCTCAGACCTCAGCCCAGCAGTACTGCCGGAAGAGTTGGTCAGACTTGCCAAATCCCCCATTGAAGCAGAGTTGGACCTGGTGCTGCCTAGTGCAGAACAAGACTTGGATTCTGCACCTATAGTTACCTCTGGGTTTAACTCACAAGAACATTTATTAGAAGACACCAGCTCACTCACAGAGCCCTGTGTGAATGCAGGCTGGGATTTGGAATCTAGCAATAAAGACATTGATTCGTATTCTGGCTCTGTAGCTGCCACTGAATCAAATCTGCTCTCACGTTTTGAAGGTGCAAGCTCACTTGCTGAATCCCCCATAAAACTGGTTGTGGATTTTGTACCCATTCACAAAGAACTTGACTCAAATTCATATTTGAACTGTACAAGAGACAATTCAGAATCTGGCTCAAAAAGCCTATTTACAGTATGTGAAACAGTCTCCAATACCTCTATGAATGATATTGAAGTGGAGGACATTGAACAGCTAGTTAAATGTATTGATGCAGAGACCTTAATTCTGAATTCAGGTTATGTCCCCACTTTATCTCCAGAGTTAGTAAAAAGCACAGTCAATAAAGTTTCTGGTGAAAGTTCCGGACAGTTCTCTGAAGGTTTCATTTCAGTGTTGCCTTCAAGCATGGAAATCTCTGCTCTTGCCTCAGAAAAAGCCATAAATGCAGACTTGCCTGCTGACTCAAGACTGCAGCATAATGATTATTCATCACAGCTGGGAGGTGTCGAAGTAAGCTTGAATTTGGTTCAGGACAATGTGAACAATGGCACTGAAGCAGTCGAGGCCTCAGGTCTGTCCTCCCTTAAAAATCCAGTGGGTGATTACCCTGTTCCCTATGCATCTCTGCTGCCTATGCTAGAGAAAAAAAAACGAAGGCGTTGTGGAGTCTGTGAACCCTGTCTGCGCAAGACAAATTGTGAAGAATGCAGCTGTTGCAGGAAGCGCAAAACCAGTCACAGGATATGTAAAAAGAGAAAATGCGAAGAGCTGAAAAAGCCACCGCCACCGATCACACTACCTTTTGAGGTAAGTCACAGAAGCTGCAAGTTAAATCACTCTTTTGAGTCTTGATGTACATCTTAAAATTCTGCAGAGGGAAGTGCTGGTCACTATACAGCTTGAGAGAGCTTGGGGTTGCTATTGGAGCTAACAGGTTGTACAGGAACTTCCTCTTGTCATCTACAGAGGTGTAGGTTAAAGTGAGCTGTAGTTATTCCTGTTCCTGCTGGGTAAATCCATAAAATCAGAGATAAGTATGGCTTTGACTCTGTGTTCCGATATTGGCATGTTGGCCAAAACAGTGAATTGAATTCATTGGAGTGCCTGAAGAGATGAGAGATTTCAGCACAAAATGTAGGGAGGAGGGAGATTGGGGGTAATTTTAGGAGGCTGTGAATTACTAGGGAGAGTGTTGGTATTTCAAACAGCAAAAGGAGGCAAGCCATTTGCTCTTTGGTTCAGTTAAAGTAATTTCCTTGTGATGACAGATTTAGTGGAAATAAGTTTGTAAACCTCAGGACCAAATTGTAGCTGCGTTTTCCCCTTCTCTGCCTTTCTAATTGTCTGTTCTTCTGCTTCTCTCATTTCACTTCTCCTGTCTCTCTGCCTTTTGCCACATCCCCCATGCATTCTTTCTTTTTTTGTGTTTCTTACTCCTTTTTCTGATCCATCAGCCTTTTATAACCCAGGTCATTACTTTTGGAACAGTGAGGAGGGGAAAAGACAGTCTATATGCCCGTGTGATAACAGCATTGACCTAAGGGATTTCAGTTCAAGATCAGGCTTTAAATCAGGTAAGTAGGGAGTTGACCGTAGATTTCCCACATCCCAACTGAATTCCCTGATCTCTGAGCTGCAGAGTTAGCCTCTGCACTGCCAGGTCCTGCCAGATGTGTTCTGCTCATGTGATCCAATAGCACCCGAACCTGAGAGGGTGAGAGGCTGTCTTGGTAGTTAAATCACTGGAATGTTTGCCTTGGGATGTGGGAAACTGAGGTTCAGGTCTCTGCACCAGGGTGTGCTCCAAGTGGAGCAGTTCATGCTGGGGAGAATGCACCTGCAAAGCCTTTGTCAGTAGCAGTTTCATTAAACTGGTGTGTTGTTACAGCAGGTGGGGAATTCCTGTCAGCTGGAGAGATGTCAGGAGACCTCCTGTTTTCACTGCTCTGTCCTGTGCTTAGCAGGGTTGGCAGAGAATTCAGGTAGGCAAGCAGAAAGAAGAGTCCTCCCCTTTGTGGAGGAAGAATATTTTAAGTTATAGTGTTTAGGCAAGTAGGTTTAGACAGCTTGGCTCAGAATTAATTCTAAAACCTCTTTGTGTCCCACCTGCTCCTAAACGCTCTTTTTAAAAAAAGTGAGGGGAGGGGCAGCTATAATATTACTTAAGA